AAGACAAAAACGATTAAAAATGACAAGCATATTCAAAAGTCATAACTCAGGGGCAGCAAGCTCACAAAAATGCTGAGACTTAACCATAGAGTTATAGAACATGGTTTCTCTATACATGCCTTACCACCACACCAGGTTTGGCAGAGAAAAGCTGGCAAGGTAAGTTGTAGGTAGATTCTTAGTCTGTTTATGTCGCTGAAAGAAAATGCCTTATACTGAGTAACTTATAAACAATAGAAATTTATTGCTCAGGGCTCTGGAGGATATGAAATCCAAAACATCAGTAATTTCAGTATGTTGTAAGGACCTGCCCAATCATGAATTGTGTTTTCTGTGTCCTCACATGGCAGAAAGAGCAAGCCAAGGAACATCCTACAACATTGATCGATTTCTTTAGTGTGGAGCACCCAAAATAGTCATTTTCCAAAGACCCCACCCCTTACTAACATCATGTTGGATGTTAGCTTCCAACATATGCATTTGAGAGTGAAAATGACATTCAGGTTATAGCAGGCAGTAACAAAATATGTTAGAGCTTGATATCCTGGATAGAATGGTCAGAGATGGTAACAGGTGACCTTTAAAACAGAAAACTTAGGCAGGCCTAGGTGTTTAAGACATGCCACTTCATAGCTAGCTCTGGCTCCTGACTCCCGTTTTCTGACTATATAGACGCCAGAGTCATTGGTAATGACTCAAGAAATGAAGTTCCTGCCATAATCTAGGGGATCTAGATAACATTCCAGACTCCTGGCTTTGGCACTGGCCCAGCCTCAGCAGCATGTGATATTTGGGAAGTGAATCAGTAGACAGTAATACTTTCTATCTTTGTGCATCTGTCAAATAAATACATATTTTATTAAATTAAAGACATTGAGAGCTGAACTACTGAAATTTGTCTGAACACAAATGTTGCCAGGAAATAAAAAGGAGATATGAATTATCTGACAGTTGTTTATGTTTGGTATGTGTTCAAGAAGTACTAAGTAAGGCAATTTCACTATGAGGAAGAGTGGTACAATTTAAACTGAGACACATTGGTAAGGGGCCATCCTTAATGACCTTATTGACCATTATAAGTAATTTAATGTCTAATTTAAGTGAGACAATAAGTTACTGCATAATTTGGAATAGAACATTTATAGACTGTAACACTCTGACTGTAGCATAACAATTCTTTTCTAGGGACCAATCTGAAGCCAAGAATCTTCTTAGAAGACTATTTAATATACACTTAATTATTTAAGTTTGATATTAGTGGAGGTCTTTTGTTCTGAAAAACTCATTTATTCAAGTGCTAATATAATAAATAAATATTTTGTGATTATCACAAATATATATATATACATAATTGCATGAACATGCATATCTAGTAAAAACAAATATAACCACATTTATCACAAAACAGATATGAAAATTGCCACAAACCATTCTTGTGTGCTATCAAACATTCACATAAAAAGCATAGGATGCAAAATGACTGTTATTTATGCTCTCCATTATCTTTCTGATTGAGGGCTTCCACAACTTCCCAACACAAGTTCATATGGCCATCTATTTACTGTTTTCCCTTTGTCATAAAATTTTATATGTGACCCTAAACATCAGTTGTGCTTGTCATTCCTGGATTAACTAAACCATCTGCAAAGCTTTAAGAAATACAAACTGCCCAAATCTGGACCTTCTGATACTGTTGTGTAAAGTCAAGTTCAGGAATTTCTTGTTGTAAATGTGTCTTAAGATGATTAGGATGAACGTCCAGATGATATGCATTACAGAGGTAAATTTCTCTTTTTCACCTTTGTCAAATTATTTGGTTTAATATTAAACTACTTACAGAGCAGTTGAAAGCTTTTATGATAGAGAACATTTCCTTAATGTAGTGATTTTCTGATTTGTCTTCTTTATTTTGGTTAATTCTCAGCAAGTTATGATTTTCAGTCACATTTCATACACATCTTGCTACCCTCAGATTCAATAAATCATAAATTCCAAATTGATTCCATGCTATTGTCTACTATATTTTATTTCTTCTTCACCACTCTGTATCTATCAACATCATCTTTGCCTGTTATGTCACAATAGTACCCTGATACTTTCTCTTAAAATGAGGTATCTGTAATCTCAAGTGCACATCCATTCATTGTGATCTCTATAAAACATGTAAATGATTTACAAATAACCAAATAACTTTGAGTGAGATTGAGTCTCTCTCTTTCTCTGTCTCTCTGCTTCTCACATACTACTTATTATTTTCTTCTATTTCCAATCATGCATTTTTTATATTTCTGGCTTATGCTAATTATGTTGTCAAATGGTATTTCTTAATTAAGAACATCCTACTTTCTCTCTTAGTTTGTTTTGATAACAGTATGTCCTCAACATTAATGTTAACAGCCTTAGGAATTGTTTCCTAAATCAAAAGCCTATAATTAGTCCCTTTGTTCCATAGGGCTTCAAAAAGCCTGTTGTGTTTATCATCACCTACTTTTTATCCATCTCCTCCTCCTCCTCCTCCTCCTCCTCCTCCTCATTCTTCTCCTCCCTTCCTCATTTTCTCCTCATCCTCCTCTTTTACTTCAAGCTAAATGAGGAGGCAGGGGGAAAAACCTAAATACTTTTTTATTTGTTCTTGCATTCAATCAAAACTAGGCATCATCTCTGTCACATATTTGATATACAGTAATGAATAAGTATGTACCAAGAGATTTTACAGAGGGTGAAGGACCTCAAGCGAAATGATCATGTATCATTCGCAGTCCACTCATGAAATAAAAATCACAGCAATTTGAATGCTGAGTTTTTAATCTAAACTTTATTAACTAGCTAATAATAAACTAAATACTAAGGAAAATTAAGCTCTAAAATACATAAGGGTAGTAAAAACTGAAAAAAATGTTAACTCTGGCTAGGGCAGAGTATAAAGAAAAAACAAAAATGGAAATACTACCAGCCTAAAACTAAGATAAATCTTATAAGAAAATATGAGAATATCTCCTGTTCATTGACAGAGAAGTTATCTATGATGCCACAGGTCAGGACTGGCAAGTAGTAAATACCTATATGTATTCTTATACACTTTTTGAGAATTTGGCTGAGGTGATGGGCGGAAATCATTGAGAGACTTCCCATAATGGCCTTATGGAGACTTGCTGTGAAGCCTCATTCTGAAGTTCCTATAAATCATCTACAAAGTCTTCCCAGGGAAGGGAGACTCATTCTGACTTAATTAACATATATGAATAAAAATGATGTATAAAACAAACATATCAGGCTGGTGCTGAGGCTCACTTGGTTAATCCTCCACCTGTGGCGCTGGCACCTGGGGTTCTAGTCCCCGTTGGGGTGCCGGTTCTGTCCCAGTTGCTCCTCTTCCAGTTCAGCTCTCTGCTGTGACCCAGGAAGGCAGTGGAGGATGGCCCAGGTGCTTAGACCCTGTACCCACATGGGAGACCAGGAGGAAGCACCTGGCTGTTGGCTCCAGATCAGCGCAGCGCCCCGGCCGTAACAGCCATTTGGGGGGTGAACCAATGGAAAAGGAAGACCTCTCTCTCTGTCTCTCTCATAAACAAGCTTCAGAAATCGAGAAGTCAACCAGTATTTTTCATGGGCAGATGACTCTGATTCTTTCCATGAAAATGGTGATTGTACTATCTCCTCTCCAACAATTCACGCCTGTGATTTTTGGGGGATATTTCTTTTATTAGTTTAAAGTATTTCAAAAACCTGCTAGAATATGCTGGTTCCACTCAAAGATGGTCAACTAACAGCTCTAGTAGATATAATAGCACACAGAGTAATCCAAGAGGAATTGTTCCCACAGGGTAGAAGTTGAAATACTGCATTCAGTTGTCTATTATGTCTGGAATGATATATAGCCAGCAGCACAAATATACATTATTCACGAGAAGTTGCCAATAGTTTAGTTGGGTGGTCAAGGCCTTAGAAGAAATAGAATTGGAAGACTGGTGACAAGGAAATCAGGAAATATATGAGTGGATTATTCAGAACATTCAGATTGTGAATATATTTGTGCCTATACCAATGGCATCAGAGGGCATTCACAGCATTTGAGGCTATAAATAGCCAGGTGGGTAAAAATGATATATTCTCTAGACGGTGGTCACTGTCTTTCCCCAGCCCATTCAGCACTGGCTGTAGTAGGTTTATGAACAAAATAGTTGAGATGCTAGATATGTAAGCCAAAAATGAGCTCAAATCAACCTACAAAAGAAAATAATTACAGAACAATTATATGGTTTTCCATGGATGCCAGTGTTTGTCCTTATAGATATCTTTTTTTAAATCAAATCAATAAAATAAGTGACTTGTTGAGCAGAGTTCATGATGGGACTACATGTTACACATGTTAAGTCTACTGCAACATACAGTCTACCTAATCCTTGGAATTGCCTCCTAATACGAGGATGAATTCATATGCTACAAAAACTCTGACATAATTTTGCCTTAAACACAAGCTACTGTTGAGTTTAAATTTTACTAAAATAAGAAAATGGTTAGAACCATCTCCTGCTGGATAATCCAATTCATTGTATACAGAGTCTGGTAGGTTTTTTTGTGTGTCAATGAATTCAGTCCAATATGACGTTGTGTCCCAACAATCTTTTTCTAAACCCCTTGGGCTGAAGTCCAGCATATGTTCATAGTGTTTCTGATCACACACATTACAAAGTGTTGAAATCTTTTGATATATTAATTTCTTCAAAGTTATAGTATATGTCATCTCCTAGGAATGTAATGTATAGTGCAATTGGGTTTTTGTGATAGAAATTGAAGCCAATGGGCATCTACTTTTAAGGTATCTACTACAATTGAGGTCAGCAGGGATTTCACGCCAAAAAATTCTAATCTCATATATGAGGTATCAAGATACTTCCCTTAGTGGCATCAAGGTAATTCCCTAGAAAGAGATGATCAGAGGATTTTTCAGTTATGAGAACGTCAGTGAAACCTGACTCCAATCAGATAACACAGTTTAAGTTTCAGAAACTATTTTTACACACAAAAAATTATAGAATTATGAATTTAACTGGTGTTGTAAGTCAGTAACTCATAATGTTATATATTTCATTTCCAGCAATGCTAGTTCTATGCAATTTAAACACTGGAGATTATCATTTATCTTCTCTGAACTTCTTGGAATAATCAGGAAAATACAAACCACCCCAACGTCCTTTTACTGCTATAGCAGTAAAATACTATAGCCATTTGGGCAGAGGACCAAATGCCTTGTCATGCTTCACCATCAACATAGGCAATATCTAGAATTAATTGTAATGTACTCCATGTCACAGTTTATTAGTATGTTGTTTATATACATATATTCACAAGCCAGAAAGATACACCCAAGTCAAGGACATAATCTAGACTACCATCAAATTTTATTATGGCTACTGACTCTTATTATGAATTTCAAAATCAGTGGGCATCCAGTTAGGACAGAAAAAAAATGAACAGTAAATTTGAACAGAGAAAATTAGTGTTTATAATTATTAGATGCTAACAAAGGATTAACCCTTATGGTGTAAAGAAAATTATAAAGAAAATACAGATTTAGAATATAGAGAACTACTATCTTTATGACACTGGCATAATACTCAAGAGAATAAAAATTATTAGAGATCTCAAAGCCAATACACAGATTGTAATAACAAGTATCTTTGGCTCACAGCAGGGTAAAAAGAATCAGAAAACAAACAAAGCAAAACAAAACAAACAAGTGGAGTACAACATGTTTTTAAATTATAACTGGTATTTAATTTAGAAAGGATACAGATCAACAGTCATACCACACCACATGGGACCACATGCAGAAGCACTGGTTTTGGTCAGGAGGCAGAAGAGGAAGGGGAAAGCACAGATCAAAAGGTTTATTGTGATTTTTAAAAATTTACATAATAGGCAGAGAAACAGAAATATGGAGTGCCCCTAGCCACTGAGTCTCTTCCAAATACCTCAGCCTTACTGGGATGAAGTCAGAAGTGGATTCTCCATCTAGATGTCCCATGTGGGTGGCAGGAACTGAATTACTTGAGTTATCACTGCTTCCTACTGTGGAGGTCCTTATCAGGAAGCTGAATCAAGAGGCAGAGCCAGAAATCAAACCCAGGTACTTTGATACGTTACAAAAATGTGTTAACTGGCATCATAATCACTATGTCAAATACCTACCCTCTATTGTGATTTTTAGTAGAAGGAATGAGCAAGGGAAGGAAAGCCCTTTAGGATTGGCTAGGTTGAATCATAACTGCACTAAAGATTGTCCCTAATTACCTGGTATGTGACTCCATGTTGATTTAGGACAGAGAAAATTTAACCTGCTGCTTCACAGGTTATGAAAGAGATTGTGGCTAGGGGTATGTGTTTTGGGATGGTTGGTTTAAATATGGAAAATGTGCTGGTGGGACAGTTGTTTTCTATCCCTAGGAACTAGCTATTCCTGGGAGGAACAATCTCATCAGCATTCAAAAGGTCCCAAGTGATCAAAGCATCCAAAAATACAGAATTTTTTTTTTTTTTAAATGATCAGTAAGCATGTTGAATCTGAAAAGCAGACAACTATCCACTGGAATGTGAAAGAAGTCTGCTGTATCTGACTGAGCCTATAACTGAAGACTCTGGCTAACTGCTGTGAATGCTGTTCACATTCACTGAGAATTTTCCCCATGTGCCAATGGAACTCACTTGGAGCCATCCATGGAGGTAACCAGGATGCTACCTGCTATGAAACCTACAAAGCTCGTGGGAAATCCAATTGTAAGTAATGAATGGCTAGAAAACTGTGTGAGTATTCTACTGAAACTCAATGGGTGAGACAGTGTTTGCAGGCATCCCATACCATCTTGTTGCCACATGATGTGCGGGCAAAGGGAAACCAGTCAGAGAAGGAAGAGAAGAGAATCCCACTCCTCATGCAGGGTTCTTCAATAACCCTAACTGATGTTGCTTTATATCATTCCAGCTAGCAAAACAGAAATGTCCATCTCTAGAATCGCATGGCAATGAAAGCTTGGAGTTGAAACTATGAAGGAATAGCAACATGAATACAAATCTGGAATGAAATGCAAAGACATTATTAAATTATTCTTTTACTTTTTGGCTTACAGGCAGAGTAGACAGTGAGAGAGAGAGACAGAGAGAAAGGTCTTCCTTGCCGTTGGTTCACCCTCCAATGGCCGCCATGGCTGGTGCGCTGCGGCCGGCGCACCGCGCTGATCTGAAGCCAGGAGCCAGGTGCTTCTTCTGGTCTCCCATGGGGTGCAGGGCCCAAGGACCTGGGCCATCCTCCACTGCACTCCCTGGCCACAGCAGAGAGCTGGCCTGGAAGAGGGGCAACTGGGACAGAATCCGGCGCCCCGACCCGGACTAGAACCCCGTGTGCCGGCGCCACTAGGTGGAGGATTAGCCTATTGAGCCGCGGCGCCAGCCGACATTATTACTTAAGATAAATTACTGGTCAAGTTCAAATACTTACTCTGTAATACAAAATTGACTACATATGGTAATAAATACGTACCAACACACAAACACACAGAATCCCTAATATATTTTCTCTCACAAGTGGATATTTGTGTGTTTCAGTTCTCTTTCTCTTCATTCTTTGCCCTTTAGATTCAACAAGCTATCTTATTTGAAGATATGCAGAGCTGAGAGATTTGTAAGACTTCTTGTTCTTTTTTCATCTCCCTTACAATTTGTTACTGACTTTAGTTATTTCTAAATCCATCATATTTATCAAGATTCTCTTCATATTTGTCAAGTTACTTGAATAGAATAGGGCATAAATTAGAATACAGTAGTATGACATGCTTTGTTCATTGAAATGTAAGCAGAAGTGGCAGGTGTCAGTTCAACTGGAGTTTTACAAAGTCTGAGAGTAATTTATCACATTTCTTTCCTCTGCCAAGTTGATCTTACAAGCAAATGTTAAACTGGAGTACTATCAACTATAATCCATGTTTAACCACAATGATCTAAGTGTTATGCCAATATGATACACTCATAGTATGAGTAGGAAATAAACTTAATTTGTAGTAGTAAGCCATGAGATCTTTAAGGTTGTTGATATACCATACCCTGAGACACACAATGGCCAATTGCATCTTTTAGTAATCCTGTCATATTAACTGTAGGGTTGAGGTTTGTAAAAGACTTTCAAACAATGCATGATTTATTCAAGCTTATGTTCATTTAGTTTCTCTTCAGATAACATACATCTTTCACCTGTGGTTATCATTATTATTATTATTATTTCTCATATTGATTTGCTTTCCTTACCTCTGAAACTTTTCTCTCAACCTACCTAAAAATGAAGTAGGAAATACCTCTGTTTGTTGGATGTTGTCCTAAATTTGCTATTATTATCATGTTGAATATTTAAAATCAGTGTTTGAAATAGGGGAAGTATTATCTATGTGAATTAAGTTTCTATTTGAACAATAAATTTGTAGTGAACATTTTAACCATGTTTGTTCTCCATGTCTTACTTGCAAAGTTGTTAGTCTTTGAAGCTGACTATATGTCTCATAGGTTAGTGCCTTTGATTATCTGTTGATATATATTTGAGTGATTACAGATTTGTTCTATTTTGTGAACAACTACAGATTGTTCTGTTTCCTCAAATTTACTAACTGTTCATTATTAAACCCCCTTTGTTTAAATCTTAATCTGGGGGCATACATTTAGGACAGCACTTAACATTCCACCTGGCATGACCATATACCATATTCCATATCATAGTGTCTGAGTACAAGTCCAGGCTCTGATTTTGATTCTACCTCCTTGCAAATGAATATCCAAGGAAGCAGAAGGAAACAGCTAAAATGTTTTGGTTGCTATCACCTGTACAAGACAGTAGTTGAGCTCTCAGGCCCTCGCTTCATTCTGGTCCAACTATGGATATTGCAGGCACTGGAGGCACTTGGGAAGTAAATAAACAAATGGGATCTCTCTTTCTCTCTCTCTACCTCTCTCCCTCCCTCCCTACCCTTCTCTATTTCTTCCTCCTTCACTCTGCTTCTCAAAGTAAATAAATTAAAATTTAAAAAACCTGACGTGTAGGATGGATTGCCATACACAAACTTTATATAAAATTCAATTATTTATTAATATACACTTATTATTCCTGTGCTGATCTGTGCAGAACTCTTTGATCCTTGTTCTTGGTCTTATTAGGAGGCATGTAGCTTACTATAAATAATATAATGGTATTTGTAGTTCTCACTTTCCTGAGAATGAGCAAATTAAATTATGCAGCATCTACTGCATTTAGTGATTTTTTATAATATATGTACATACTTATTTACAAAAAAGCACAGCATTCCAATTATATCTCCAAATGAATCATATAATAGGTAATGATAGTCCATAAAGAATGTACTGATGGTGGTAGTCCTGCAGTGGAGATAGACAAGAATTATTTTGGCTACTTTTAAAGCAACTTAGGGAAAAAGTAGAAAGGCAGAATGATAAAAAGTTGCTGTTATCTCCTCATTCTATTCATCATTCTCAACAGGTGCACATTTTCCTTGTCTAGTTTAAATGCTTTGTGTTGAGAAGTGACAACATCGGCACAGGTATGCATGGCTTAGATGGATAAAAAATAAAATATAAGAAATAATAACCAAATGGAAAGAACATGTTGGAAAAAAATAATAATCTCTCTCACAGCACAGATGAGGCTTACCGTGGGTTCACTCAGGCTTCACTAGACTATGCAAAGACTCATCAATAGTCCAGATGTTCTCCATGACTAAGCCATATAGGAGTCTCCTGCCAGAACACAGAGAATGAAATCAAACTCCTGAAGATCTACCTCCACCACAGCAGACATGTGAAAAATACATGCAGGTCATCATACCTGTTGTCAGTCTTTGAAGTTGAATATATTTTTTTCATAGATTAGTGCTTTTGATTATCTGCTGATATACATTTGAGTGATTACAGATGTGTTCTGTTTTGTGAACATATACAGATTTTTCTTGTTTCTTCAAAGTCTCTAACTGTTCAATATTAATCCATTTTTTTAAAATCATAAACCTGGGGAGGCATTTAATGTAGCAGTTAAGGTTCTACTTGGCATACCCATATTCCATATCGGAGTGTCTGGATTCAGGTGCAGGCTCTGATTCTGATTCGAGTTCCTGATTCTACAGGTCCTCATACAAATCACTGCAACTTATTCAGAAGACAGCTAGTATTTGCACAACTCCCATGTATTCTCATGTGTTAAGGCTACTCATTTTAAGAATCCTCATTTTAGAAATAAAGGAATGAATCAGCCACATACATAGGATATTTCTATTAGAATATTTTAATATAATTTTTAATAATGCTCTTGGAAAATAATATTGGATATTTGATATACTCAATACAAATACTAAATGTATTTTACTTTAATAGTAAAAGAATATTCAATAACAACTTTTATATCATTTAATATGAAATGACTAAGCCCTGGAAAAGAAATGGCATGTTGAAAAAATGTATATCATTTGTATATATGACCTGTTGTTGTTCAATCTCACTACAATAACTATCTACATAAGAAGAAGCAACTAAAATCAGATCAGGCAACATTTATTGAACACATTAGTCATTGTTATCTTATCTCTAACTAGCCCAACTCCAGAGGGAAAATTCCAGATTGTAAGTGTATTGGTGTTCAAAATAGAGGTTACTGGTTAACCAAACTTCTACTTTTCCTTTTAGACAGATGATAGCTGAAGAATGGTTTCTTTTTGAAACAAAAGGCATGCTTCATTAAGTACCTTGCTTTGAATGTCCAATTTAGAAAGATACTTGCTTTCAGCTCGGAGAGGCAAGGGAATATCTTGAGACACAAGCATTTAAATTTCCACTAGGAAGTTTAGAGGAAACTTGAAGTATATAAAGAACAAATCTTAAAAAGTAGAGACATGATGAGCCATTGTCTTTCCACTGTCACTTCAGTATTTCAAAAGAGAACTTGCAGTTTTGTAAGTGAGGTAGAAATTCCTAGCTCTTTCTGAACAGACCCCCAAATTGCTACAATTGTTTTCACTTTATACCTTTTTTGAGTGTTAATTAAACTCCCCTTTAAAGTGGGAGTTCGGCCTAATGATTAAGACACCAATGACTCACATTTGAGTTCCTAGGTTAGATGCCCACCAAAAGCCCCTGACTCCAGTTCCCTACTAAGGTGGATTCCAGGAGGTATCATTGATGGCTCAAGTAATGACATTGCTGCCACCCATGTAGGAGACTTGAATTGAATTCTTCATTCCTGACTTCCACCTTAGTACAGCCAGAGTCGTCACAAGTATTTGCAGAGTAAATGGGATAGAAGCTCTCCTTCTTTGGCTCTCAAAATCAATCCATCAATCAATATTTTCAAAACTTTTCACTGGGAGACTACAGATAATTAACCAAGTATTAGTAAATTTCTATTTTAATCACTTTACTATATTTTAATGGAATAATAAATTGTTGTAGTGGTAATTTCAATCATCTTTAGAACACTTAAGTTCTAATATGATGAGCAAAAATAATTAAAATTACATTAGACATCACTAAACCGGCTAAATGTCATGTTGTGTAATAAATTTGTGTTAGGGTTCTCTCAGAAATAAAAACAATAGTGTACATGAGTGTACGTTATGCCTAAAATGTATATACTTTACAAAATTCTTATTGCTAAAAACTAGTAATAATCATCTGCCCCTTCCGTGAGTGGCAATCCCTTCTGTGGGTAGATGATTTTGTCTCAATGTTGATGGCCAGTGACTCATCAACTCAATGTCAGTGGTACCTGAAGGACAGAGTCACTGCTGCAATGTCTTGAAATCAGACAAAAATGAAGATCGCCACAGGGATTCACGCTTCCTTTCACGAAAAACTTTTATGTAGCATACGATATATTGATGGCATTTTATGCACAGTTGAATTTTTTTTTTCAAAATTGGATTCAATCATTTTAGAACCTGATGTTTCTTTATTATATAAATTGGTGTAATGTTGTAAACTATTGGCTATAATTTTATCAATTTTCATAGGATCTTTAACAGGAAACAATTTTATCCCAAGAAATCATTTTGCTTATCTAGAAGAAACAACTCATTATTTCTTCATATTTTATCATGACAATCCAGCTATTCAGTCATATATACAGACTATATCTTTATATTTCCTTTTTCTCTTTCCACCACAGTTGAAATTACTTCCTTTGCTGAAATCTGCAAAGCCCCAAAATTATTCATTTGGGCTGGAATAAACTTCATTGAAACAATTGTTTATGTTGGAATATTTATATCCTCCCATGAATCTTGAGTGTTCTTGCTTTTTAAATAATTGGAAAACAATTTTATTATTTATTTTTATTCTATTTGAAGGTCAGGAGAGGGAGAGAGAGAGAGAGAGAGAGAGAGAGAGATCTTCTGGTTCACTCCCCTAATTTCTGCACAACTGGGGCTGTTCCAGGACAAAGTCATTAATGCAGCAGTTTGAAGACAATCCAGTTTTGCCATATGGGTTACAGGTACCCAAGGATTTGACCCATCACATACTTCCTCCCAGGGTGTGTATTAGGAGAAAGCTAGAACTAGAAAAGGAGTTGAGACTTGAATCCAGGCATTATGTGGGCATTCAAGCAGTGTCTTAACAGCTACTCCAAATATCTGCCCTTCATAAATGTGCTTCATGACATGAAGAATGGTTTATTCTTTCCAGAAGATTTTGTTTACTTTTCTCAGAGAAATTGTTACCTATGGCAGCTATGACTTTTCAAAATAATTTTTTAATAATAAAGCTTGAAAGTCAAATTTATCCCGATTCCTGGCCTGCATAATAGATATCGTTATAGAAGACATGAAATTTTAATCTTGTACATCCCCGGAGGAGCTCCTGGGTGGCCAAGTGCATTATCAATGATTAGTAACATTATGAGAAGAATATTTTTATCTATTTAGTTGGTATCAACAATGGGCTTGAATATTCATTAAATAATATTGTAAAAAGATGTCTTTGGATGCCTGATTTATGTCCTGCTACTCTGCATTTCCAATACTGCTTCCTGCTTATGTGCGTGGAAGACAGCAGATGATGACCCAAGTACTTGGGTTTCTGCCACCCATTTGGGAGTCCTGGATGGAGTTTCTGGCTCCTGAATTGGGAATGGACTAGCTCAGATGCTGTGTTAACTGGGAAGTGAATTACCAGATGGAAGAACTCTCCCTGTGTGTCTCCCTTTCTCTCTGTCACTCTGACTCCCAAATAAATCAATCTTAAAGAAAATAAAAAGAATGTGTGTGCAGTGTCATCCAGACTTTGTTCTTTCATTCTTACAGCACAGATTAGATTTAAAATTCTTAAATGTCTAAGATTTACATAATGCTAAGTGAGGATTATCTGGAACTTAAACCATCAATTTTATTTGTCTTAAACAAGAAAACTGAGCTATTATTTGAAACTTTGAATTCAGGAATTGTTCTCTCTAGAAATGAAAGTTCCAGATAGCATTTTCTTCCAACACATATTGTTAGTCTTCACTGACATCCCATATTAGAGGATTAGTTCAAGTTCCAGCTGTCCACTCCTAATCCAGCTCACTGACAATGTGCCTGAGAAATAGCAGAAGATGTCCCAAGGGTTTGGGTCCCTGTCACCCACGTGGGAGACCCACATGGAATTTCAGTCTCCCAGCTTCAGCCTGGTTCAGTCCTGCCCCTTGTGGGCATTTGAGGAGTGAACCAGTGAATGGAATGGAGGATCTCTCCCTCTTTCTGACTTTTAAATAAACAAAATTAATCTCTTTTTAAAGAAATATATATCAGTGACATCCATCAATTATCTTAGTTTGATCTATAAGATAATTGGCTGCAGTTTCTAAGTTATCAATGTGATTTCTTTCCTTAAACATCATGAACCAATCTCTCCTACCTTACAATTTCTCTTTTACAGCTTCCTTATTCCTCTTAGTCTTCAAAGAATGGTGGAATTTTAGGTTCTGCTCTGGATTGGGCTTTGGATAAATAGAATGTTATGGCTGTCTTGATTTTCTGTCTAGACCAATAAAACCTTTTGCATATGATTAATTAAGACCTTTTCACATTCTAATCATTCATGTGCTTACTAAGTAGCATATTTAATTTTTTTCAAAAGTTTTCCCTTTGCATTCATGACCTGGCTAACTATTTTGTGCAAGATGTTTAGCTTTCAGCCTGTCTCTTTTATGATGTGTTTTTCTTGCTAAGTTTAATCACTCCTAGCTTTTAATTTATTTATGAGTTTATTTTTTAAATATTTATTATTTTTAAATATTTATTTATTTATTTGCAAGGAAGAATTACAGACAAATAGGGAGACAGAGTTCAACTATCTTGTTAAGTACAATTGGATCAAAAGTGGAGCAGTTGGGACTCCAACCAGTGCTCTTTTGGGATGCAGGTGTCATAAGTAGCAGTTTAACCAGCTGTGACACAATGTCAGCCCCCTAGCATTTTATTTAAAATGCAAGATGAACTCATTCTTTCAGTAGCACAGTAAGAAGCCATTTCAGTGTTTGACCTAATTCATATATTGTTGTTTCTCAAGGAATAGGGAGGCCTGTTGTGAGTGAAAAATATGGCGGAACAGTTTGTTGTTGGAGCAGTGAAAACATACCCTTTATCATTTTAAATGGGAATGATTTGTGGTACTCACAAATAGTAACATCAAAGATGACTGGTTATAGATCACTGTAAAAGGTATGACAACAAAGGAAAATTTGAAATATTCTGGGAATGGCCAAAATGTCACACAAAGACACCAAGTGGGCACATGTTTTGGGGAAAAATATTAAATTCAATTTTAAAAAAGCACCAATGCATATGCTCAATGAAGACTTCGTGTTGTAGGAAATGTACTACTGAAAAGTGCAACACAGCAGGATACACTTGTATTTATTTGTTTAATCTATCCATATCTATCTATCTATCTATCTAGAGATGTGTTGTAAGGGTTTGGCTTATGTGATTATGGAAGCTGTTGTTTTCAAAACCTTCTGAGTCCAGCTTCAAGTTCAAATCCCACAGGCTACTGTGGGACTGTGAAGAATCAATATACCACTTCCAAGGCTGTGAACTAGGAGAATTCTGTCTTATTCAAGGAAGGGTTGACTTTTGTTCTCTGCAGATATTTAACTGTTGCCTGAGACCCAGCCATCTTACAGAGGGCAAATTGCTTTACTCATTTACCTCACCACAAACTATAAT